CCCTTGCTCTCAAGAAGCCTGACATCCCACAGACAATTCAGACATAAGCCTGACCACAATACAGGTGGAAGTCTAGAAGTCTAGTATTAATAAAGGACCTCAAGACTTGAGAGTGAGAAGCAATTAAGCCCAGCCTCAGAGGACACACTTGCCACCCCACCCTTTCATCGGCCCAGCCTCTTGGGAGACGGACTTTGGAAGAGACCACGAAGACCATGCCCTCATTGGAAAAGGGCGTCAAATAAGTCAGTTAAATATTTTCATCTACAATCTGGGGGTTAAACACGGTTGTGATCACCTCTAACCAAGGACTGACCTCCTCCATTCTGTGTCTTATTTGAGGCATGGAAATAACATCAGCCCCCATATGCTTTGCCTTACCTTTGGCTCGAAGACACACTTGGAGCCAAAGGCTACCAACGTGATGAAGACAATATGTTCTTGAAAAAGACAAGCACTCCACACTACAGCTTGTTAAACAGATGAGGGACCAATTAGGGAGAAGCTAGCAAATATTTTCTTGCCAGTTACCATAGCCTGCAAGTTCAATCTTTGCTTATTCTATATAATTATTATAAACTTGAATTTCTCTTTCATTCTGTTTACTAGGAAAGAGATTTCCTTTGACAGAGAAAGGATTATTTTAATAGCCCCAAGGACTGTTGACTTGTAACCCTGGGACAATTAATTTTTTGTTACAGGACACTATAGGAGGGAATGTTTGCTGTAGAAAACTGTATTTGTTCACTTAAAACTGTTTGCTGCATTTATAATAGAGATTGATTTCACTCACCAAGCTGGTGATAATTAGCCACTAACCGTGACCTCACTAATCTCGGTCTAATTAATTCAACCAGTGTGAAAGAACTGTATGCATTCTCTTAAACTGAGAGCAAGTAAGTTTCTTTCATTTTATCTGTAAAATAACTAACATACAAAGTTTAAAACACAATGCATCCCCGTAATGAGCTGCAACAGAAGGTACCAGCCCTCGGACGCTCTTCCCTTGGCTTCAGTAACACAACACTCGGGTTCTCTGCTGCCCCTTCTTTGTTCCCTTTGCTAGCTCATGTCTGTCACACGCTGTATGTCAAGCCTTCATCCTAGGTTGTCTTGCAACTTTAATTCTCTCTAGAGACTTAGCAACCACTATCGTGAAGTTAAGTATCCTTTGTAACAGATGAATCTCCAACATCAACTCCCAGCCCAGATCTTTCTTCTGAATCCCAGGTGCCTCTTTCTAGCCGCCTCTTCATCGCCCGCACTGGGCATGCGAAGTCTGAGGGAGGTGGGAGACATCTGCAGCTCCGTGATCCACCACCACCCCAGAAACCTGAACCTCCTCCAGAGTCCCTCTCATCCAGTGTCACCCACTGGGGACCAAGGCAGGCCCACGACAGTTATCCCTGATACCACCCGCCACCACAAGACCCTATCAAGTTTTATCTGCTACCTAGTTCTCAAATCCCCCACCATTTCTGTTTCTACAACCATCACCATGGATAGGTTACAATTCCTTTCATCCCAAATTGCTTCAGAAGTCTCCTATCGGGTTTTACTCTCCTTCATTATAATTGGGTCAAAGTGTAATCATGTCATCTTTACAACTTTCCAAGCGTTTCCCAAGGCCTTTACAATAATCCACAAAAACTAAAACATCCCTCACAGTCCCTGCCACCTTCTGTGTCGTATCTGCCCACCGTCGTGCTGAGGATCTGGTTCTCACCCCCTCTTCACCCGGCTCCCTCCGGTGCGTCCTTAGTCCTCAGCTTTCATGTTTCCTCGCCAAGAAGGGTCTCTCGCATCAGGCCAGGTGTTTGGCCCTCTCACTGCTCTTTTGGCCTCTAACTCTATTCCTGTGCTATGGGGCCCTGGGCCATTGTAGGGACTGGACAAATATTTGTTGACTAAACGGACAGAGAAGGGTAGCTTAGAGGAAGGTTTAAACTGAGAAGAGTCTGGTTTCCGGGCAAGACGTTGAGTCTTCCCTCAAACACGTATGCGTGGCCACCTGTACTGCCGCCCCGGGTGACATGAGCGCGAGTGGGGGAAGGTCTCTGATCCGTAGGATCTGCTGTAGTCTTCACACTGTGGGGTCATCCTGAAGCTTCTAGAAATAGTGGAAGGATGGGAGCCTCTCTGCTTTTAAGGCTTTGAAAATAAAATTTTTTCAAGGATTATTTTTTTTAAAGAACTTAGATGTCCACTGGGCCAACTGCATTACTTTTTAGATAATCTGAAACCCAGAGAGGGGTATGAGTTGCCCAGTATCACAAGACGGTGTATGTCTTCTCCATCAATCATGGAGTTTTTGTCACGTCCTTACCCCTTCACTCCCTAAACTTGAAACAGGTAAAAGGTTCTTGGCACAGATAGAGACTCCCAATTCCAGAGTCCACTGCAGGTGACACACAGCTTGGCAGGGGAAAGGAACCCTGAATTAGCCATCAGGGAACTCTATTAACTTCTCAGGAGACCCCCAGGAAGCCCACCTCATCACTTGGGACCTCAGTATCTTCATCTGGCAAACAGGGACATAACACAGTGATGCTCTGAAGTTAGTGCCACACATGGACTCAAGAAAAGAATATGCATTGGGAAAACCACTTAAAAATTATTGTCCACAAAGAGTTGTCATGACAAAGCAAGTAACTGTGCCTAAATTCGAATAGCCCAGAAATAGAATGGGCTGCCTCACGCATGGTAGGTAAGAGAAAAGCCTCAGAATCCAGAGCACGTGGCTGTGACCACAGCTTGACCACTGTGTGTGGCTCTAGACAAACCACTGATCACCTCTCGGTACCGCCAATTCCGTGCCTGTACACAGGGCAAAACAAAAGGACAGCAGCACGAGACTGGGGCAAGGATAATATGAGTTAATAGTACGTAAAGCTCTTGGAATAGGTCTGGTACATCCTAAATGCCAGCTGTTACATTCTGTTGTTGGACCCCCTGAACCAGCGGTGCCCAGGCGTGGATGTGATCCATCAGCCCAGAGAGCAGCAGAGAGGAGCTTTCCCTGGGTGGGGAGTCGGGTTCTTTCAATGCTGAAATTCAAGAGGTCAACCAAAGTAAGAAAATACCTTCGTTCTGTCGTTTCCCACCAGGTACTTCTTCCTGTCTCTGCAAGGGACATACGGGAAATCTCCGATCTTAAGAGCTCAGAAAATTGACAAACTCCCCATGGACAAAAGAGACCTGGAAATCCAGAGCTGGAGAAGCAGGCAGAGGCCTGTCAGTGTCCCCGAAGAAGCCCGGTCTACCCACTGTCCAGTGCCCCCTGTCCCCAGAGCCAGCACCCCGAAGAGCTCTCGCCCTACCAAGCGGGACTGGGTGCTGCCTGGGGAGAGAGGCAGCAGGGACCACATCAAGGATGACCCATGCTCAGGGGACTCCTCAGTTACATTCTCGCCTGGGGAGCACCTTCTTCTGGACCCTCACAGGATGGTGGCGTCCAGAGCCTACTCAGGTGGACAGACTAACGCCAACTGGCCCTTGAGCCGAGGCAGCCACCGCCGGTCCCAGAGTTCCCCGCCCCTGACCATATGAGGGGCGCGCGGAGATCTGTGCAAACTCAGAGGCGGCCGCCCCACCCCGGGCGGGGCTTCATTAACCGTGACTCTTCCTCTTCATGGAGGAAAGAGCGGGCCAGGCTTCCTCCCCACCAGGCTTGGCTTCCACAGAGGAAGTGCTGGCCCCATGGGGTGTGACAAAATGGACTGGAAACCAGCTGACCTCTAGTTCTGCTGCTGCCAGGCAGCATGTCTTGCCAACAACAGAGTTGTTTTTTAACAAGGAGGCTCTGTTTCTATTGCATTGAGTTTTTTTTTAATTTTTTAGCCCAGAAACATTCTTTGCCCCTCTAGACAAGCACATGCCACAGCCCAGTGCCACTGGGCCGTCAGTTTCCAAGATTCCAAGAAATGCATCAACCCAGCTGCTATCTCAAGATACGGAAGCTTCCGGGCATGTCAGACCATCACCTCACCGCCCGGTGCCCAAAGTTAAAAGTCTCAGAAGCGTCCCCCACACACAAGTGTTTCATCTCAAGCAGACGGCAGTGATGGGCATGTCGGGGTCAGCATCCCTTCCATTCTGAGTTGAGTCTGCTCTAGCCAAAGAAAACCATGTCTAAAGATTAAAACTAGACATGAGCTCATTGCCACAAACACTTCTGAGGGCCGTGGAAGCAGAAGGAACACAGGTGTGGGAAAAGGAACGTGCTTCAGCTAGTGAGCCTCACGGCCCGTGGTCTGGGCACGCAGGCCGAGCAGCTCTCTCTTCCTAAAGATATTTATTAATTTTTAAATAAAAGTATAGGTATCCCCCACTTTTCAGAAATTTGCCTTACGCCATTTCACTTTTACGACTTACCTGGGTGCTGGTTTTTGCTAACCAAAAGACATCCAAAGAGGATTTTTGCTTTTACCAAAAACAAACAAACAAAAAGTGAGGCACAAAAGCAGCCTTCAGCATTTGTTTCGCAGGCCGCCCCTCCCCCCCCCCCCCAGCCGGCACCCTGAGGCTCCTTCCAGGGCAGCTGCACCTGGCAGCTGAGAACCGAACCGCCGTGGCTGCAAACTGCGTCTGAGCGCCTGTGCTGCCTCTGGATTTATTTTGTGCGTCCCTTAGTGAGACGTCTCCTGAGGCAGCTGCTTCTCTGCTTTACGCCTTTTCAGCTTAACGAAAACGTTCACAGCCACACTGTGCTTTCAGCTAGCAGGGGAACCTGTGCCGTCCTGGGTCAGCTCCCCGCACAGGAAAACGCGGGGACCGGATCTTTACACGACTGCACCTGAAGAGATGACCTACACGACAGAGCGACCCTGAACCCAAACAACGGCGTCTGAAAGGGGGGGAGGAATGTTAAACCCAGTGCGTTAAGCCTGTCCCGGAAGATCACATGCTTGAGATGAATGAGGGAGAGTGAGAGGGCGCCTCACTTCACAGGGAGCAGGGTTGCTCAGACTCCTTATCCCCAGAGGTCGTAAATGCCAAAAATGTAAGAGCTCACGACAGTGCTGGAAAAAAAGAATGGATGACAACACGCCGTCAAGAGAAGCGAGGTCCCCTGTGGGCAAGGGTAGCCTGTCCCTAGTCTTTTAAGATAAGTCAGGGAGGACGACTGAGTCCTCCCTCCTTAAGGTGCTGCTGCTACATATTAGGGGAAAAGTACAGGGATGGATACAAGTGTGGCAAGTCCCAGCCACCACTGACATCACTTGAGTAACTCCCAGCAAATGTGCCCCCAAAACAGCTCAACAATCAAGTTGGCACGTGGCAGACTGAGCTGGTCCTCTGACCATCCTGCTGGCAAACCTGCACTGGGCCATCCGGGGCATCGCCCTAGAGTCAATCCCCTGGACCTCTCTGGCTGACCCTGCCACAGAGTGATGCCAGCGCTGGCCGGCTGGTGGGTGTTCAGGGGAGCCCGACGTGAGGACCACGCGAGGAGGAGCAGGTAAACAAATCGGGCACAGCAGTAATTATATACATTGTCCCAAATGAAGGGATTGACCCAAAGCTTCGATCTCAGGGTCATTCCTTCCCCCCTATGATTCCCCCCCACTCCTAAAAGCCAGATGAGACCAGTAGGAGGTTTCAGAAGAGAACGGAGTAGAGGGAAGAACTCTGGCCGCAGGAGATCGGGCTGTGAGCCTTTTCTCTGCCCCGCACGCTCTAGGAGCCAGGAGCACCTACGTGGGTTGCCACACCTGCGTATTAGGTGTGACCTGCCCCATCTCCCAGGCTTGGCAGGAGGATGTTAACGCCCTCGACAGTAACCCGGGGATTTTTATTTCAGAGCTAAGAGGGACTGAGGTGATGGGAAGCTGAGAAAATATCTGACCCCGGTACCTTAATGCCAAACCCGACCCAACACTGTGCTGCTGCCCTCTCTCCTGCGTGACCAGCCCTCCAGTTTGCCTGGGGTTTTCCCAGTCTTAGCACAGAAAGCCCCACATCCCGGGAAGGTCCTCAGTCCTGGGCCAGCCAGGCCAGCTGGTCACCTCCTCTTGTCCTTCCTTGAAAACCAAACCAACTGTGACCGTCCAAGTGCCATCTTAGGGGAAAAGGTTATTACAACTATTTCCCTGTAACCTTATGCTAATGATGATATTTAATACATTTTTATACATTCATGACCTTTTAGGAGTTACCTGGAAATGGATTACCCTTTATTAGAAGAAAAAATAAACATGGTTTTCCACTGTCGCCTGCAGTTTTGAATATTCTTATCCATCCATCCATCTTTGCATTCACTCGTTCGTTCGTCCACCCATCCATCCATCTATCTTTCCAGTAAACTTCTGCTGGCCCCTGCTAGACGCCTGGCAGTGTGCGTGGGGCTGTGGGGAGGTCGGTCCCTTCTTAAAGCAGCTCAGAGCCTTGTGGGACTTAGAGCATCAGGAATATATCTGATCCAATGTAAGCGTGTGACACAAACTGAAATGGCTGTTAGACGCAACATACATAGTCCTCTCTCTCTCAAACTCTCACCTGCATACGCCCCTCTTCCTGGAGGCCTGACTCCAACCTCACACCCATTCATTAGATGCCTCTCTCCATTCACTCATTCAGCAAACATCAAGTGAGCGCCTGCCATACACAGCACTGTGGTGGGCAACACGCATAAAAGCCCAGGGCCTGCCCACAAGGGATTTACAGTCTAGGAAGGGAGACAGACGCTACGCAAGGAAATCAATAAATGTGATCACGGCACACAATGAAAGGAAGCAAGGGTGGAGAGGAAGGGAGGTGGGTGGCTCCCAGGGTAATCAGGGAAGGCGTCTCCAAGGAGAAGACATTTCAGCTGAGACCCTAACCATGAAAACCAGTCCTCAGGGACGGACCGTTGCAAATGGAGAGAATTAAGTATGAAAGCCTTGAAAAAGAGATTTCGGTGTATTCAAAAGAAGAAGAAGAAGAAAGGGAGTTAGTGCGACTAGAGCGCAATAAGCAAAAGGAAGTCTGTGATGCTGTGAGGAGGAACAACTGTATTCGCTAATTCTGCGCTAGGCGCTGATCTAAGTTCACACTGTCCTTAAACCTCACCGAACCCTTCAAGGCAGGTACAGCAGTCCACTCCCCTTACGCTGGAGGATTATGTTCAGGACCCCCAGTGGGTGCCTGAAACCACAGATAACACATACACGCCTATGGTGAAATGTACAAATTAGGCACAGTGACAGGACACCCAGATTGCTGGCCTCACTGCTCTTGCACTTTGGGGCCACCACTAAGTAAAATAAGGGTGACTTGAACACAAGCTCTACGCTGTCGAGACAGCCAACGTGATAACTGAGCCGGCTGTCACGTGCCCAACGGAGGCAGCACACAGAGCGTGGACACACTAGACAAAGGGACGATTCACGTCCCAGGTGGGACGGCACAAGATTTCATCAAGCTACTCAGAACACCATGCAATTTAAAACTTACGAGTGGTTGATTTCTAGAATTTTCCATTTAGTATTTTTGGACCACTGCTGATCAGGGGGAACTGAAACCATGGAAAGCAAAACCACAGGTAAGGGGGGGCTGGTGTACTATTTTTCTCCCCTATTTTAGTTAGCTTCAACCACATAACAAACCACCCCCAAAACGGAGTGGATTAACACCACAGTTTTTCAGTACTCACAGTGCTGGGAGTGGGCAGCCTGGGCTGGGTGGCTGGGATCTCCTTCCACCAGTTTCATCCTCAGTGACGTCAGCTGGCCTTGTCACACGGCAGCAATGTTCTGAGAAAACAGATGTTGCAAAGCCTCTTAACACCCAGGCTCAGAACTCACGCATCGTTGCCACCACATTCTTGTGGAAGCAAGTCACCAGGCCAGCCCGGTTTGAAGGAGGTGGGAAAACATACTCCACCTTTCGTGGGAGTTGCTGCAAAGAAAGCTGAGCTCCTATATAACCTGCTTCATCCCACTGACAGAGGGGAGAAACCGAGGCAGAGAAAGCATCCATAAGCGTGGCACAGTCGCACAGCTAACAAGTGGGGAGGCCACATTCCAATCCCGGGGGTCGCAAACCAGAGCCTGCACTCTTAGCCACAGAGCTGGGCAACTGTGAGATGGGGCCGGAGGGGCAGGTAGGGACCAGATGACAGAGGGCCTTGTCACCTACCTGGACAGTCTCTTGAGAGACATAGGAGCTGGGTGCCCAGCCAGCCTGGGCCCCACCCCCAGCCGTCACAGCCTAGCAATGTGCCCTGCGGAAAGACCACACCATGTTCCACTGGGTTCAGTAAGAAAGAAAGACACCAGCACCTAAGGAGAATGCGTGCCTGCGCTGTCCTCTAAAACATCTCCCCCAGAGCTGACCACCCTGCCGGGTCTTTCCATTCTGCACAGAGAACCCCCAGAAGAAATCAGTAACACAGGAGCGAATTCTTCCAGGTAACCAACCAACACGTCCCCAAGGCATCAGGGGCCCAGGCAGGGTTCCAAGGATGAAGGAGGTGGGGCTGGGGGCTGGGGCTGGGGCTGCGCCCGCCCGGAGGAAAGCGCCAGCCCCAACTTTACAACCCGACCAGAGGTGAGGACTCAGGCATTTTTCCGAGGAGAGCCTTTCTGTTCAAAGGCGTGCTGGCGCCACCTAGTGTCTAGCGTCGGTGTTGGAGCTGCTGCACCTGAGGGTTCTTCCTGCGGCGGGAGCGGGGCAAACAGGGCGGAGAGGGATCATAGCCAGGAGCCGGGAGGCCAAATTTCAACTCCGGCTCTGCCCACGGTTTCTGCTATGACTCTGGACACATTTCTTCCCCAGGTTTCAACCTCAAACTGAGGGTCACTCAGTTTCCCCAAATGCTCCAGGTAGGAAATGGACTGGTTCTACTATTCTGTGATTCTAAGGGCTACTTTGGGGAGGCTGGTTACAGCTTAGGAACGACCCCCAGGAAATCGATTTACTAGCTGTGCAGTTGTTTGATTCTTGGGCATGCACGCACAGGCACACACACACATATGCACGCGCACACACACATATGCACACACACATACAAGATCTTGTTCTCTGTTGTGTTCCCAGTGCGCGGCACATGGCAGCCCTGAAGAACTCTTGCTATTGAAGAAAATCATGGATGAGGCTGGTCTCAGAGGGAGCATAGAAGTCAGGAAGGAAGCAATTCTATTTGGGAAGATAATGGACCCCCCCCCAAGCCTCCTGGAGGCTTTTTCTAGATCGGGAGATAATTAAGGAATTGGCAACACCTAAAGAGGGGGCCGGGGCAGCTATCAGGAGGGAGCCTGAGCTAGGATGCCTCTCCCTCATACAGACTGTGAGCTCACTCTTGGTGAAGTAAGCCAGAAAGAGAAAAATACCATACGATATCACTCATATGTGCAATCTAAAAAAAGCAAAGAAAAAAGAGGACACTAATGAACTCATCTATAAAACAGAACAGACTCACAGACATAGTAAACAATCATATGGTTACCAGGGGAAAGGGGATGGGAAAGGATAAATTGGGGAGTATGAGATTTGCAAATGTTAGCCACTATATATAAAAATAGATTAAAAAAACAAGTTTCTTCTGTATAGCACAGGGAACTGTATTCAATATCTTGTAATAACCTTTAATGAAAAAGAATATGAAAACGAATATATCTATGGATATGCACGACTGGCACATTGTGCTGAGCACCAGAAATTGATATATTGCAACTGACTGTACTTCAATTTAAAAAAAAAAAAAAACAAAAAAACCTCACCTCTCAGAATTCTCTTCTCCCACCTGCAAAGGCAGAAAAGATTTCTGAAGCCCCACCAACTGCTGCTTCTGGGTCTCCAATCCTGCCTTTAAGATAACCCACCTTTTTACCCACAAAAAAGAAGGAGCATTTGTCCCTTTCAGTAGATGCAAAAGACAAAGTATGAAGAGAAGCACAGGTTTGCTCTCCCCATTAATAACAGACCAGCCTGTGCGGCAGCGAGAAGGGGGTACAGGAATCCTGGACAGCTTAACTTTCGCTAGGCTTCTAGCCAAGACTTCTTTTTTTAAAAAAAGCAAAGAACCAGAAAGGGGGATGACCCAAAGAGGGAAGGTGAACTTGCTGGAAGTTGAGAATCACCTCTGCTACCCTCAATCACCCTGGTGGTTGGAGGAGAGTGATTTTGAAGATAGGTAACAGGTTGAAAATGGAACCTCTGGGGTACCTTCAATAGGTGCTTTTACCAGTGGACCCACTGGTGCCTTCCCAGGCTAGACCTTATACCACCCTCCTGACCTCACCGCCAGTCAGTTGGCTCAGGATAAATCAGATGACATCATTCAGGCCACAGTCTTCAAGAACATCATAACCTAATGTGAGACCCCGTCTTGGGGATTCATCTATTTTAACAGCAGTTTGAGGTACTTTATCCCAAAGAAGCAGCAGGTCTAGGAGCTCTTCAGGCAGCATGGCCAGCCAGAGCAAGGAGACACTTTCGGCCAGACTACCCTTTAAGACGACCCTTGCTCCACCAGGACATGACTGCCTACACATCAGGCGACTCTTGTACCAGACGACAAACCGGGAATAAACTGCCTTTTTTGTTCCCTGCAAATGATACTGTATTTTTCCATGTGACTTCCTTGCCCCATTTTGTAGATGGGTAAACTAAGGCTTGATACCATTCGCAACAGGCCATTATGGGGCAAAGAGCCAAGATTCAACCCCAAGTTGCTCAACTTCAGGGCCCAAAATGTGAGCCCCTAGGCTGCACTCTTTCCACAATGCATCGAAAAGAGCTCTGGCTGAACTCAGAGTCGCAAGATCTGGCTCCCAAATCTGCACACTTCTTACCGTGGAGCCTTCTTTCCCTCCTCATTCTTCTCCATGTGTGCAACGAAGGGGGTGGCTTGGAGGTTTCTAAGGCCTCTAAGTGTTTCTGAATTCACAACTCATCTGTAAGAAGAACACATACTCATGGACTCCTAAATGCCGTTGAAGCTTTCACTCAAGGTATCAATGAAATCTTTTTCTGAGTAGATGTGTTTAAAATTGGACTAATCAGCTGTTGGAAAGGATAATTAAAGCCACTAGTAAATCAACTGAAAACCTGCTGACTGGCTGAGCATCAGCAAATCACAAAGAGTTGGAAGGTGAGGAGCAGGGAGAGGAAGCAGGTGGCAGGGAAGGAACGGGAAGGGTATTAAGATAACTTCCCAAGGCGCTAAGCGGGAGCCAAGCGCTCTACAGAAGCCCCAACTCCTGAACCTGGTGTTCACCGGGCCCCCA